CGACTCCACGGTTTTGTTCCTTGTGTTCCTTGGCTATGCAACTTTTATTATTCTTTATTCATTAGCTTTAGCTTATGGGGAAATGAACATCTTTTTTTTTTTCTTCCTTTCAGCTGCCAATTGTGGATAATAAGACAATTTCTTGAATTCTTCTGTTTTACGGTTTAGGCGAAGTTCCTACAAAAAGTTGCATAAAGTTGATTTTATGCCGGCGGATCTCATTTTTAGTTGTTTAGTATGTTCCTTATAAAAATTTTAAAATTCGTAAATAATGGCAAAAAAAGTACCGACAGAAAAATATTTTATTGAAGTCACCATCAATTTATGTATATAATAAACTTCGAAAGGAAAAAGTTAGGTTTAAGACGAAAAATAAAACCATCAAAAACGGCAAATAATCAAAAGCTCGTGTACAAATGATCATCTTACTTTTGTCACACAATGTTAGAAAAATTAAAAAAACTCGTAAATAAAGTTAAAAATGCGTCAAATAGAGTTAAAAATGCGTCAAATATTTTTTTCTCACCACAATACACCGTCAGTTAGAGTAGATTACAAACATAGTGTTGACAAAGCCCAATCAGAGGATGCCGCGTGGGAAATCTACCTTAAAACCCGATTGAGTATCGAAGATTTTAAGAAGAGATCGACTTGGTAGAACTCGACGTGAACTGGAAGAAGGACCGACCTCCTTGACGGGACGAGGATCGACTTCCATGAAGAACCGAGATCATGATTGAATAAGAGACAGATGGGACGCCTTTCAATCAGCCGCCCATACCTTCATCATTACCTGTGGGGGCTACCTGCAGGCTAGATGCCCCTAAATCACATTTAATGCCGCCAAACCAGTCTCAAAAGACGAGTCTGGAATTACTATAACTAACAATATTTATTCCTGTACGAGGATCTTTTTTCGACGCATTTTATACGCATATTAGACAGCTCGATTCCACATAAAACCGACCTCTTGTACTAAAAATCCGACTTCAAAATACAAAAAAACACAGCTAATTTTCAGTGTTCTATCTACTTAATTTCTGTGATTATTGTTGTTAAATTTTATATAACAACAGTTTGGCGCTAGAGGAAGGGGGCTCCACAAGTTATTTGGAGTTAATCTTCGATCCATCAAATCTTCTAAACACATTTCGATCATCATTCCCATTCCATTTTTCCTACCAAGGCATGTCTCAGTCAGGTGAGGAAGATCAAACCTCGAGAGCCGGCGGTAGTCGTGGGGCCGCCACAACCGCCGACAGAACCAACGCAATGCCGGACCCGATGGATTTCACTGCTTTATTCCAAAATCCAGAATTTGTCAAGGGCTTCTCTGCCCTCATGACCCGAACCATGCCGGAAGCGTCGAAGACGGTGCTAGGACAGTCGATAGCACCAAAGACACCGACGAAACAAGGCGTCCGACCGACCCAAGATGCAGATGGGCGCGTAGCAGCTTCACACGCGACCTCCCAACCTCTTCAGAGTTGAGTAAACAAATGTCTGATTTTTTTTTTTTTTTGTACAAAATCTCGTGGGGTATGTAATCCTGTTACCATGAAGCATAAACGATCATTTCAGGAAGGGCCTCGACTGTGGTTGTGCTCGTTTCAAACTTTTAAGTGCATATGAATGTCCAAACAAGTAAAAATCTTAAGGCAGTAACTTGGCCATTGGCAAACAGATCAACCAAAAGGCACGACTTTGGCATTTGCGTAGACTTACTGGCAAACGAGTACTGTGAAATCTTCAAGGCATGTCAATAATTTGTAATGTTTTTGAGGTCAATCTACCGTCATTTGAGTTGCGCCGTGGTGGATATTTTGCTCCTGTTTTTCTCAAAAGCTTATTATAAGTTAATATCTATTTGTGTTATAATCAAACAACATTTCATGAGTTAATAGAAATTAGCTAACATTTAGCTGTTTTATGGGATCATATGAACTAAAACAACCAAAAATAATAATGGTAAAAAAATTAAAAAGAAATTATAAATAATGGTAAAAGAGCAAAAAAAAATAAAAAATCTTTCATCCATTTCACCGCTATTTTATGTTTAGTAACAATTTTTTATAGTAAAATTTGAGTTTTGAGATACAAAATGAAACGACCAAAAATTGAGATAATGGTACACATGAAAATGCGAAAATTAAAATTCATAAATAATGGTAAAATAGTCTTAAAAAACTTTCTTTTACCAAGTTAAACCATAATTTTTTTTAAGTATATAGCAAACTTGGATTGTACAAATTTGGTCCACAATTTTATGTATATAAGAAACTTTGATGGTACACAATTTAGTTTTAAGATGATAAATAAAGCGCCCAAAAAGCGTAAATTATTACACGCTAATGAATTAGGGCATGTATAGTGGTAAAATGAAGTTTTTCTTAAAGTATAAAATTGGCATGTATAGTGGTAAAAGGAAGTTTTTTGGGCAAAATGAATTATGACAATGTTGACAATCCTGACGAGTCATTAAAATGAAGGGAAATAGATACTAATATGAAGTCAATTCAAAGTAGGATGAACTCGGTTTGAACCAGACGCATAACCGACCTCGCCCATCCATGACGACCGACCTACGCGATCAACCAAGCTCAAAGGTGGTGGCGAGACGCCTACGCGACCAATTGAACAAACCGCCCTCCACACATGTTGTCATTATAACTTGTGGGCCCAACTGCAGTACAAACTGCCCCCATTCACTTTGCATTAAATGCGGCCGTACCAACCTTGAACATCGAGCCAACAAAAGTTACTATAAATAAAAGAATTAATTCCTGTGCGGGGATTCAGTTTTCAGACAAAAAGAAAATACATGTAAATTCTACTCGGTTCATAAAAAAATCGACTTCCTGTAACAGTTCAATCTTACGATAATCCCAAAGCTAAACACTTTATACCGTTCTACATCATTAATTACAAGTTATTATCGTTGTTAATTATCGCATAACAACAGTTTGACGCTAGAAGGAAGGGCTCCATAAGTTGTTTGGAACTAATCTTCGATCTTTTCGTGGACTGAGGCGCCTTGATTTCTAACGGCCACCGAGAGCTTGAGCAGCGGCAGATGGGCCATTTTTTAGGACGTGTGGGTGTCCGGGCTGCAGCGAGCCGAGTCTTCCCGAGGCCGCTAGTGACCATGTTCGAATCTCAATTGGCTTTTCCTCTCCTCGTGTAGAATCGAGGAGTGTGGTAATCTCGATTTTCTCTTTTATTTTCGTTCGTTTAGATCCCTGTTTTGCGATGTGCGACTCGTTGGAGATTGAGAATCATGTTATTCTGAATTGTGGATTGCGAATCTTTTTGTGAGCTGTGAATAGTGAATCTTGTGTAATCGAGACCTTTGAGTAAATCTGTGAACTGTGAATAGTGAATCTTGTGTAATCGAGACCTTTGAGTAAATCTGTGGAATTGGTGGTTTCGGATCTTGTACATGGAGATATGGTTATGTGAATAATAACTTGGTGTGAATAAATATTGATTTAGTGGGATGTTGGGATCTTTGGATTTGAGTTATGTTGGTGCGATTAATTGGTGAAGAAATTGTGTTAAAGTTGTGAAATTTCATGGACTGGGAACCTTTGTATTGCCTTGGACTTATGTTGAAACTCTTAGAAAAGGAGATTACATTCGTGTGCTTAACTTGGGAAAAATAATGGACTTGAGACTTTGTTTTGTTGCCTTAGGTTTGTGTTGAGAACATTGAAAAATTTGAGAAGTTCGGATCTTTAAAAGTGAAGAATTATTTTTGTTAATTGGTGAAGTTGGGCTCTTGTGAATTTTGGTTATTTTTGTGTGTTCAGAAACAATGACACGTTATACCAATTTTGTAGACGAAACTTTTTTCTCCAATGAGATTGATATTCTTCAACCTTTATCAACATCAAAGTCTCAATTTGCTATTCCATTGGATTAAATGGTTTAGTTAGTTTATGCTTTCTCCATTCTAGTCCTGCTTTTTTAGTGTATTGACTTCTTTACTATCTTCGAAATTTTCTTACCTTCATATATAGTGACTGCTATTTTTTTCTCAATGGTGGTCTTTTCAAATTCTACCAAAATGCTAGCAATTTTTTCAAATTCTCAATGGTGGTCTTTTCAAATTCTAGCATTTTTTTCTCAATGGTGGTCTTCGAAATTTTCTTACCTTCATATATAGTGACTGCTATTATCCAAAATTATTTAATTTTTGTTGAGTATTTTACAATATTAAACAACACGCAATAATGGTATCTACATATTTGGGTTAATATTGATCTAAAATTAAATGAATAATGTAAACTAAACGGATTTATATAATGGTGTAATATTATTATTATTATTATTATTATTATTATTATATCAATGTTATCATAGTAATAGTAATTAAAAATTTATATTAACATGAATGTTAATATTACACGGGTACTTAAATAATTGTTACGAAAAACTGAATAATATATGTCATTTTTGTACGGGTATATCGCAAAAATATATCAGTAAATGATATTTATACTGATATAAATATATCAGTATGGTTACGAAAAAATGTTAATACCCATGTACGGGTATATCGAAAAAATATTTATAAATGTACGGGTTCATTTTCAGTATGACATACTGAAAATGTTACTTCATTTGTGAAATATTTAATATATCAGTAACTATTTTTCGTAACTTAAATGAAAATGCCAACTTATCAGTAATTATTTTTATGGGTATTTAATACATGTATTTAGTACCCGTACATGGGTACTAAATACCAACTTTTAAGTACCCGTATTAAAGTACCAACTTTTAAGTACCCCTACTTAAAAGTCGATATTCACGGGCGTTATTAATTGTCAAATAATTAATTAATCTATTTAATAGTAACAAAAATAAATATATATTAAATAAAATAAAGAATACTTCACAAAACTATATTTATAGTTTTTTTAATTCACAATAAGATTTGTATCTTTTTTTCACTTTTTGTTGGACAACAAATTTTTTATAAAAACACCAATTTAATACCTCTTATTCTCTCGTTTCCTAATTAATGAAAAGACAAAATGCCTTAAGTTGAATTCAATTGTCAAAAAAATGTTATTGAAGTAATGTACCGTACATGGGTAATACATGTATTTTATTACTAAATACATGAGTAAGAAATGAAATT